GCTTTGGACTTTCCAAGCTCGAAGGGGTTGCCTCCAGGGCCTCCAGGCCCCGCAGGACCTGTGCTGATCACAGACATGACAATGAGGGCGCAAAGGCGTCGAGTCGAGCAGTCCCGCCTCCAAATGGCAAGCCTCCAAACAAAAGAAGCAGGCCGGCAATCAGCCAGGCAATGGGACCGGCAAACCGTGCGAGGAAATCGAACGGAGAACCGCCGGCGTTAGAATTTTGCATGACCTGACGCAATTCGCAGTCGCATCTACGAGTATGAAGGAATGACATCGAAGACTTGAGCGGCCGAGGCACTACGTCGACCTTCTTGTCTGCCAAAGTGTTGAACAGCTCATCCTCGATCTGAGCATTGGGAATCAAGTTCACATCCCGTCTGGCGCCATCCTGAGAAGGTAGAAGGCGTGAAAGATCCCGGATGGCAAAGGTCCCGAAGGGTCGCAACGGAGTGACTTTCGAATTTGGAGTCCTTCGTTGTATACTGTGCTGAAAGCATGTCGTTCTGCACACGCACCATTTCCACATCTCCCTTCTTGACCGATTCTAGGAAGTCCGAGTAATTCACGACGTCCGCCGCATTCGCCGGCCTCGGTTGCTTGAAGGGCGCCAGTAAAACCGCCTGTCGAAAGGGCGACCTTCGGTGGCGAGGGGCTGCAGGGTGACTGTGTAGGTCAGCAGAAGAGATGCAGCTGCACTGGCTGCCCAGCGAAGCTGCCCGTCGGTACTGGAACGCGAGGCCACCTGACGGCTCAAGTCGCACAGAGATGAGGCAGGCAATGTGAAACGTATCTCGCCTCGGCCCCTGCTACCTCTGCGAATGCACTGGCCGCGGAATCTGATCTCGTCATGGAACGGCTGAGCTCGGCTGCAGCAAAAAGCTGGAGCTCTTTCAGCGAGTAGCCAGCGCGACGAAGGCTATGCCGCTATGCACAAGCGTGCTTGCACAAACGTCTCCAGCAATCTTTCCCAGTACCTGTATGAACGAGAACGAACCATCCGCCTGGCATTGGTCTCTGCAGAAGCGCATGCGCCAAAGAGATCAAATGCGAGAAGCGCGTGGGAAATTCCTGGCCCAGGCGAATATCCGGATTTGCATATTTTGCATCTGCATGCGGCAAAGTTAGCGTCATGAATTCCTCGTCCTTCTGCTGCTTCGAATTGGAGCTCCGGGGCATTGCACCCCTGGCAGTCGCTTTTCTGCCTGGGTCGAGTTGACCGTTCAAGCCAAAGCACCGACCTGCTGCAATCAGCTCAGTCACTAGAGCTGGCAGCTGCAACTGCCCCAGCCATGGCAGCGGCAGCACTGGCCGTGCCAACAGCTGCGAAGGTTTCAGTGCCGCGCGCGGCATTGCTGCCAGCTCGGGAATGGCGCACCTGCTCACTGGACTGGAACTGCCAGCACATGTCAAGAAAT